TCTGGGGATTCCCCCACACGGACACGAGTCTGTGTGTGTCACTAAGCACTTACACAACTCAGTGTGCAAAGCGGCACAGCCAGGAATGTTCCACTTGATGCTCAGTAACTGGTCATGTGCTGGGTTGTGATCCGCATGGTCGGCAGTTCTAAACCACCAGCAGCTCCGAGGGAGAACTCCCGTCAGCAGTGCCCCCACAGGGGGTCCCTCTGAGTCAGCAGTGACGCCGTGGCAGTGAGTTGGGTTTGGTTTGATTTAACATTTAATCACGGCCTCACGTTTCCTCGGCTCTCTCGTTTTCCTGTCAGGAGAAGTAAAGTTGTAGATTCTTTGCTTCTGGTGTAGATTGTGGGGGTGGGGTTGGACTCCCTTTGATTTTACTATTCGATTCACTGGACCTCTGAAGTTCTCTGGGTCAGAATGGTTTTTATTGGAATGAGTTCCTCCTTTCAAATCCAGTGCAGAGCCGGACCACCCACCTCCTCCCGCTTGGTAAGAAAGTTCCTCTGCCTGCAGCCCTCCCCCAGCTCCTCCCCGGAGCTCCATCCAGGCCTGCTAGCTGGGTTCATAACGACAGCCGCTTGACCCTGCCTGCGTGCCGCTGACCGTGCCCAATTTCCTTTGCATTCTAGGAAGGCAAGCAGGCCTCGCTGGCCGCCGACTTCTCCGTCACGCAGTTCAAGCACCTGGGCCGGCTGCTCATGGTGCATGGCCGCAACAGCTACAAGCGCTCGGCCGCCCTCAGCCAGTTCGTGATGCACCGGAGCCTCTGCATCAGCACCATGCAGGTGGGTGTGCGGGGAGTGGGTGCCCCGCAAGTGGGCAGGGATGTGGGGAATGTTGCTGTACCCCTCCAGTGGGCGGTCAGGCTCAGGGGTTCATGGCCACACCAGGCACATGGCAGATGGGGGAAGGGGCTCTGCACAGGGGAGTGTGCACCACTCCAGTGAGTGAGTGGGTGGCAAGGGTCCACGGCCACACTAGGCACCACATGGGTGGGCGGCAGAGCTTCTGCGCAGGGGCGTGTGGGGGAGTGTGACTGCCCCACTCTGGTGGGCAGGCAGTGGGGCCTCTGCCCATCCACGTCCCTGGTGCCATGGAAAGAGCCAGGGCTCAGACTAGGCTCTGCAGCTGTTGCCCCAGCAGCTGGCTTAAGTCCCTCCCCAGCTGGTAGACCTTGTCCTACATTCCTCGTCTGTTCCACAGTGGCGTGGACACACGTGTCCTCAGGTTGCTGTGCCCGTCCGGAGCTAGCGCGTGGTAGGTGTACTCTCAGGGCAGATCTACTCTGTCCTACAGGGTCGCTTTGAGTCAGCATCAACTCGATGGCCTTGAGTTTGATTTTTAAGCCCTTACTGTGCCCTAGGCATCAGCCTAAGTGTTTACAGGCAGGGTCTCATGGACGCCTCCTGCTAAGCCTGAGCTGGTGGGGCCTGCAGTTAAACCCATTTGACAGACATGGAGGCTGGGGCTCAGAGCTGTGTGCAGTGCCCTGAAGGGATTTGCTCCTCTGGAAGTGAGCACACAGGTCTGCTGCCCCTACGGTGGCCGTTGGACAGGCATGGCCCCATTGGACGGGTGTGGTCATCATTGCGTGGGCGTGGTCACAGCTGGGTGGGCCAGGTCCTCATTTGAGAACACAGGTTGTCTTCATCTTACCATTCTGCCGGCCCCCGGCCCAGCAGAGCCTGCCTGGGCTTTGAGCTTAGT